TGAAAAAAAGAAGCGCACCATGATCATCATTTAAAAACGTTGAACATTGACGTAAATGACCGGATAAATTTGTGCAGTGGCAATTTAAAATGTGAGATAAATAAGTGTGAAATACATTAATACGAAATTTGTGTGAACACTTTAAATGCGTTTTTTTTTTTTTTTTTTTTTTTCAAAAAAAAGTCAGTTTTTACGCACAATGCAGCCATCATCGATGAGTTGACATTGTTTAGTTATTTTTACAATAAGATAACTTAAGCTCATTCGAATGGATTCGTTTAACCTTGAAATGGAAACGATGTAGAATGAATTTGATTGTGAACATCAATGTTTGCCCGTGGCTCGTTTGTTTTGGACAAAAGACACCATTTATGAGATAAAAGAACCGGTAGTAGTGAGAGAGAACTCCTCAATGCACTTTGTTGATCTCAATTCACTTTGTTCTCAATGAAATCCATTTTACAAATAATTAGTGCTAACAACAAACTTAAAGACATTTCCCAACGCAACAAACATTGAATTGCCATGCTCTTCGTTGTTTTTAAGAAGTGAAAAATATCATGTCGAAAAAAAGCGCAGTTCATGACTATATAAACAGTTGGTGGTTCATTCGAATGTGTTATGATGCGATCGAACAGGTAGCCAAGATACATAAATTTAGAAGCAAATATTTACATGAACATAAAAAATCAACACGGTAAGAAAAAGCAAATGAATTTCATTTACTCAAGCAAAAGAAAAATTCACGAAAATCGAATGCGATATTGATTGTGGGTGTGCGCATTCGTGCACACAAAGAAACGGTTTATTATCATATCTCTTCTGGTATTTGAATTTCCCTTTGGGTTATTTATTCTGTGCTATTGTTTCTTCTTCTTCTTCTTAGTAAGCATTCACGCTTTGTTTTATTTTTTTGGTGCTTTCGGGATTTCAATCAACGTTGCAGTATGTCAATGCGTCCCTCTCCATACGCCAAACGTTTCGGCCAAAGAAGAAAGAGAAACTGAGTGAGAACACACAAATCCGAGATATTATTCTCCAAACAACAATTTTTGTGACATAATCGACTTTGGATTTCATCCAAAAAAATAAATGGATGCACGATATATGCAAGAAAAGTGTCCAGAAAATGTGAGAAAGACGGAGAATTCAACTAAGAGTGTGGCCACGAAAGTAAGCAATTAAGCGATCACCGTAATAATTTTTTGATGTTTTTTCCCTGTGGTGCATGAGTGAGAACGGATCGACAAATTCATACGGTCGTTGTCTCATTCAAATTCGGCCGAATAGTTGTACACTGATTCCAAACACAAGATCATCTTATTTTTGAAGAGCAAAAAAAAGCTTGTTCTCCTCTCGTTTTCTGTGTGTTTAAGGTTTATTTGAAGATTTAAATAGAGTTCGTGTATTTGATTTGGTTGAGTGTCGTGTACACATCGTTTTAAATTTGAATGAGATTAACATTTGTGATGTGGACGATGTTTGTATCTGATGAAAAAAGGAAATAAAACGAACACACATAAGTCACACACACGCACACAGCGCTACCGAAACATACAAACACACTGATCATTTGTCATATATTTTATATCAAGAGCTCAATTTCCTCTGACTGCTTAAATTTTGACATGGTATATTTCTCTCTTCAAACATTCAGTCCAGTTCAGACACACAGATAGAGGTTTCTTCGTACTTTGGTGGGTCTCTGGGTATTTTGTGTGTGTGTGTGTGTGTGTACGCATTTGCTTATGCACACATCGAGCAATGTTAACTTGAAATTAAATTGAGCGTATAGGACTGAAGGGAACTAACTACGACTGTTGTTCATCAAACATGTGGCTTTCGTTTGTTCTTTTATTTTCAGTTGCTCTAAACATTGTGACGCTACGAAATGGCAAAAAAATATATATATATCTTCCCTTTTTGAAATGGCAAAACTGTATTTCACATTGCGAATTTTGCGAATGAGTGTGTGCATATAAACTTGTTACGGAATGTGGTCTTTCATTCAATATTCCCAGAGGCGCGAGCATCTGTGACAAATATGCACACGCAATCAAATGAAAGAGAGAAAGAGAAAAATAAAGAAATAGTCACCAACGTCCAATCGATTTTATTTTAACACCGACAAATTTGATTTCAATCCATGCTGTACGGACTCGTCTCCGTACATTGATTTGGACTAAATACTTGTGACCGGTACGCACACTAAAAATGGCAAAATCATGTGTCTGCCACTTTGTAAAAATTAAGAGAATGGCAATATTCAATGTCCAAAAAAACAACAAAATCACGATTATAAAAAACGCGTATGCTGCTTGCCATATTTGCAGTGCAATGCTTCCTTTGGTCACTTACACTTTTCGTTATTCATTTGTTGCAGACAACAACTACATACACACACCGAGAGTTAAATAGGCATTCATTTACTCATCTGGTGTGTCTGGGCGAGTTCTTGTTTCATTGATAAATTACTGGTTGCCGCTTTTTGTATGATCGATCGTCTGCAATGGGAGATGAACCGATCTAAACGACTTATGCATAAAAATGATTGAGATGATGTGGTCAAACAAACAAATCGACGGTTATGGTGCATTGATATTGTTGTTGATTTTTTTTCTTCACTTTTTTTTCGCATTTTCCGTTTGTTGAAAGTTCTACACACCAAACACGCACTATGACGCTGCATTTTCGTGTGCACATTTTTTTTTATGAGCCGGTGTCAATTTTGCACGAATGAAGAGAAGAAAAAAAGAACGACGTATGTAACGTCGTAGTGACCGTTAATATCATGCATACACATTTCTCGATCGAACACAATCGAATCTGAATCATACTCGTCTGCATGCATCAGTGCATACGAGCTCGATCGTTTGGGCTTTTATTTCTTGACTGCATTTGTGCTGGTGTGTTGTTGTGCGGTTTGCTTCTACAGCAGCAACGGCAGCAGCAGCAGCAGCAGCACGAACAGCGACAACAACGACAACAGGCATGAAGCGAAAAGAACACTTTGTACCGAATGAGTGAATGCGCTGGCCCGTGTGTGTTGCTGGCCCCAAACACACGCCGTATGTGAGCGCGCGCGAGCCGGTATTGCTGCACTCTCTCGCATTAGACCACCCAAGTGAAAATATCATTTATTCGTCTTTATGAAGAGTATTATTCTGATCATTAGCGGACCGATCTGACATTTTCGTGTAGTTTCTTTTTGTTTTATTTGACTTGATATGCATTTTTATGGCTGTGGTTTGGTTTAGTTTTTCGAGTAGCGAATTGCTAATGAAATAATAAAACGAAATGTAAAAGAGAGGTAGATAAGAGAGGTAGAGAGAGAGAGAGGAGAAAAAAGAGACAGAGAACATTTTGAACACAGAAAACTGGATGTTATAACTCGAAGTGGATGGATAGAGCCAGATGAACATTTAAATTGAGCGAAGAGAAAATGAAGCAATCTCTTCATATGCGACGGTGATAATCTCAGAATTGAATCATTTTTTTTTGCCCTTCTCTTTCTTTTCCTCTTTCTCTCTCTCGGTTTTGCTATTTCTACGTGTATGCTTGCTGTTTTCAAGATTGCTTCCGATATAGTTGGAGTTCTTGTTATATGATGTTCAACAGTTTTTTCCCTCTGTTCTGTTTGTTTGTTATTGTCAGCTTCGTCACTCGTCTTCGTTTGCCTTCATCATCATCATCGTCATTCGTTTTCTGTTCTTTTTTTTTTAATTTCGATTGTTTATTTGAATGAGTGGCTTCTCGAATAACAAACATTTTAATTCGTGCGAGTTGAGTCTCATGTATGTATGTGTGTTTTTTTTTTTGTTTTAATTTTTATTTCATTTTGTGCTTTGGAGACTTTATTGTTGTAGCCACTATGCGCTGATTTGATCACTGTCCCATCATTATCATCAACAATAATCATTATAAACCTCAATTTTATTACATAATTTCAATCGATCGAGAGAAGAATGGAGTTGTATTGAATGTTCTCACTGTATTCGTTGTCCGTGCGTTTGTGTAGCGCGCACACATACGTTCGCTCATCGAAATCAAATCAATTGGTGACCAACCGCATAACTAACGGATAACAACAACAATAACAATAAAATTAACGAAACAATCAAAGATTTTGATCAAATTATGAGGACAAAATATGTGCCGCATAACTCTTTGCTGAAGGTCATTGTACAACATTTTTTTCGTCTTTTTTTTGTTTCACACACATATAATTTGTAATGAACCGAAGCGAATGAGCATAAACGCATCACAACGAACAATCATCAATAGACCACAGATTACACACAAAATAGCTGGTAGTTTTGTGGTCACTTTGTTATTATGAGGCGGATGGATTTCATGTGTGGCGTTTTTTCTTATTCTTCTTATTTATGCGAACAAAATAGTCATTTTTTATGATTTATACGATCAAATGAGAAAATATCCTGCGATTCATTGGCGTTCATACAAAATATTGTCATGTATGTCAAGCTCGTGTGTATCCAGACAGATATTGAATATAATTTGTTTTCACATTAATCTGTCAACCATTTGATTAATTATCAAGTTTTTGATTTCACAGCCTGATTTTGTCGTCCGTTCCCAGAAATATATGTGTATTCAATTAGACAACAAACATTTTGACCTTTACGGACCTATTAACAAATACTGTTTATTTCTATTTTCTTATCTTTGGCTGAATCGAAACGATTTTAGTCAATCTTTCTACATCAAATTTGTCTTAATGTGAGGAGTTACTGCTGTGCGTGCTCATGTTTATCGGCTATCATTTGTAATTTTAAACAGAAAAACACAATGAAAACAAATCAAATAACGAATGATTGATTGTTAGACATGAACACATATTTGCACTTTTAGAATATTTTCTTGTAAATTTAAATTAAAAGAAAGTTTTCGGAATGAAGTGAAAGCGAGTAAAACTCAAGAATGATGAAAAACAAAAACCTTAACGAAATAAATATGAGAAGATAAAAACGGAATTTTACCTGAACTTGGTCGATCGCTGTATCTCGTGCAATATACCCAGGCGGGCCACGATAATGGACCTTTGCTATTTGATTCTGATGTGGTTGTTGATGATGTTGTGTTTGTCTTATCGGTGGTCGACTCGGTTGCATTTGAATTGGAATTTGATAATGCTTTAGCTGCCGTTTGATCGGCTGAAGATGTTTTCTTGTCATTCGTTGTCAACGATGATGCATTTGAATCAATGGATGTGCTCATTCGTCCCGTTCGATGTGAATTGCCACCTTTACGTGCCGGTTTATTTCGTTTTAACAGCGGATCGGTAATTCGACGTCCAAAGCTTGGTTTCAAAATGTTATCAATGCTAAATTTTAAGCTAGTCTCATTAAAATTATGATTATGATGCATGTGCCGTGCACTTGACGATGCATTCGACGATGGTGGTGATTGGGAGCTTTCACGTGATGTAGTATAAGCAGGTGATGTCATTTGAACGCGTGTATTATTATCACGACCCAGAGCCGATGTTATTTTTGATATTGCATTGAGATGTGAATGAATTTGGCGAAAATGTGTTGCTTCTGGCGATCGAGCGCTTCGATCTTCGATAACACTCCATTTTTTACCCAAATCATTATCATTTGCATAGGCCTGCAAGCGGCTAAAACCATGGATTTTCAATGGATTCGTGATGGTTGCATTATGAATGGGGCTCAATTCATTTGGTCTTGGATACGAACTAAAAGCATTATCACTTAATCTTGGGCTAATATTCAAACCTTTGGTAACTGTCATGAAATTTATTTGATGTTTCATTATTTCCTCGGCGTACATATGCGATTTTCGTAAAAATTCCTCTTGTCGCGTTGGATTCGGACGAACAATGCTTGGCAATTTCGGTGTTGTTGCCAATGTCGTTAGTGCGGCGGTATTATTTTGTGTGATCGCATTTGTATCGTTCAATCGAAACGATGATACAGATTTTGGTTCATTGTTGTTTCGTCGTATGTTGTCGATGGCATCGTCCACCTCTTTGCCCACCGATAATTCACTGTCATCACTGCAATAGTTCATATATTCATCGTCGTCATCTTTATTGTTATTATCACCTTTGTACGACGATACCGAATTTGAACGGGCCACCTCGCTGCTCGTTCGATCGTCCATCGTCAGTGTGCCAATGGAAAATTTTGAATCAAAACCGGGTATCGATCGCGGATCCATATCACAAATTGAATTACTTTGACTATTTTCACTGCCATAGCAATCTTGTGGTGACATTTGGGCTTGTTCACGTTTCGGTGATGGTAATCGAATTAGACTGTGTGGCAACACACTTTCCACACCATTCATCGTGCAAATATCTTCGGACAAACGCTTATCGAACAAAGCGAGATTTGGTTGCAATGGAATTAATGGCAAGGAATGCGATGTTATCGTTGTCATATCACCACCTTTCTGTATGAACATTTAAATGGCGAACGGAACTATTCATTCATTCACTCACTCGCTCTATCGATCGCTCGCTCGCTCTGTCTTTCGCGCACTCGCGCACACCGTGCGACGGGACCACTAATTAATTATGGTGTTTGGGTTTATTTATTTGAGACTCTTTTTTTGTTGTTGTTTTGTTTCGACGACTTTCAATTGCAATTGCGCTTAATTGCAAAACGCCATAAGTGGCACGGTTTTATGCATTTACCGTCGGGTTTGATGCGGTGCAGTTTTACATTTGCGACAGGTTTTCGATAAACCTATTACGCGGCCTATTCAATTTTGACATCACTTGAGCAAAACTAACCAGAAAACAAAAATCCTTAACGATTTCTTCAACTGAGAGATTTATTAGAAAGTTTAATTTTTTTGCACTTTATATTTTATTTGATTTTTTTTTTTTTTTTTTCAAATTTCTTTCGTTTATCAAAAACGTGTTTATGTGTTCAATGTTTTGAAAAAATTGAAATGATCTTTTTGCATCCTTTTTCTATCGAATTATTTTGGCTGTGTCTAATTAAATCGCATTATGTTTAATTTTGTGAAAAGAATATTGTGTTCGAAATGTGATCGATTGTGGTCGCTGTCATAAATTCACAATTCAGTGTCATTAAACGAAATGGTGATGATTGAATTGCTAAAAAATGTGAAATGACAATCATTCTCTCATTTGTATGCGAATTACGTTTGCGATGCACATTTCTTGCGGCCCGATCGAGTACAATCAACATCAACATTAACACACCAATCGGAGGTTTTGATAACAGTAATAACCGATAATCATAGTCAAAACGCGTGACACTACCAATCGCATTCAGCCAAATGAAGCGATAGTAAAAATGAATGAGCGAAAGCCGATAGAACACAAATTCAATAATATAACACATAAACGAACCAACAACGAATAACAACAAAAAAAAAACACCGTTCTTTTCGTCGTCGGTATTACTTTGTTTTGTATCGGCGTCTGTTTCGCTATTTTTCGGCCGTGAAACAGATTGTGATTTAAATTTATAACCGGAGCAATCAAGTGAAAATGCGCGTCGTTTCAAGCCAACAGCCGTCGTTAAACTAAATCAAATTCATTGTACGTATGCATACAAGTTTAACGGCAGGGCTGGGCGTTCTTAATTCTCTCACTCTATCGTTGTATTCAATACAGAACGACGCATGAATGTGTGTGGTGGAGTGGAACATATTCAGTGTAATCGATGGATACGCGAGCGAAAGAGACTGAACGACAGTGAGTGTTGATTGAATACACGAATTGCAGGCGTGGTCAAACATACTTGAGCACACACAACACAAAATCCCTCATTCATTGCGACTTTTTTTTTTGTTACCAACAGTCTTTCACTATTACTCGCACACGCGATTCCACTCATACATATACATGCACACATGCAGCATGCAATACGAAAGGGCAACAGCAACAATAATCAAATGGACGAAGAGAAGAGAGAAAAAAAGAAGCATCGCACATTTATGTGTGCACATTGCACAATGTTGCAGATGAAAAAGCAAGAAAACACAACAAATGTACATAAATAGCAGTGTTTACATTGGCGTAACAGATATCGCTGATTGGATATGCGACACCTCCATGTGCAAAACAAGTACTTGGCACTCAACACACATACATACGCGCGCCGCTCGATGAGTACGAACATGATTTTTGCGTTCGTCCGAAATCGCATCAATCGACAGGCATGATTGCGGCAAACATATGCAATCGTCTGTTAAACGCACAACATAATACATTCAGAATACGAATTTTTTTTTCTTCTTCGCAGTATAGAATGAACTCTTTTGCAAATGCAGAAAATAATGATAATTTTCATATCGAATTTTGATACACGCATAATTTTCAATTTTGGCCATTTTTATCTAACACTTCCAATCCTTTCATTTGGCCTATAATCCTAGATGTACAACAACAACTCGCGGTAATTAAGATTAAACATTGTCTTATTTCACAATAGAAAATGATTGGCTGCAATTAATTGTAATTTAGCATCTTTTGTCTTATAACAAAGTAAAATTTTCAATGGAAAGAGAAAAGTTGTGCTCAATTGAGATTTAAGTTTAATTAAAAATGAAACGCGCTATGTATCTCAATATTTAGAAGAATGAAGAGGAAAATTCGCCATGGATGGTGTGTATAAATTATGTGTTTTTGTAAAGATTTGCAATGGATTTTTGAACGTGAGATGCTGTTAGAATGAATTTTACCGTGGCAATAGTGAAATTTCGAGTCTTATCACCAGTACCAGTAAAAAAGCAAACAAAAAATATGTTCATAGTATTGATTGATATTGAGTAACAGAAAAACCCCAAAAAGAGCACAAAACGGGCGAATTTTAATGTATTTCTCTCTCTTACCTTTTTCGATTGTCATCGTGTTTACTGTAGCATAGCTATGCATATGAAACACGTTTAAATCATTCATGGATGGTACGTGCCGCGTTTGTCCTTTTTTTATATTGGCAGAGGATTTTAACCTTCGAAATTGTTTCCATATAATTGTGCGCACAAGAATACGGGAATGAAGTTAGTTCTTTGTTGGTTTTATTTTTCTTGCTCCAAATTGAATTTATTTGGGTCGGATTTTGTATATATAATACATCAACACCATCCCCGATTGATCCGTCGAAAATTGCCATTAACATATTCGGCGGAAATAATGCCTTTTTTACAATTATTCATGCAGAGCGCAGGCAGTACCGTACTACTCTAAAATGGGTTCAAATGGTTTCAGCGATTGCTTTGGAATTTATTAGTTGAATGTTCTGCAAATAAATTCATTGTTGTGAAATTGATACGTCACGTAATTTTTTTTCTTCTCTTCTCTTTCATCAAATTGCTTCTGTAATACGGTATTTTAAGTCTGTTCGCGAAGTTCAAAAACTTTTTTCACAATCGAAACGATTTAATAAAAACACGAATTTCAATCGAAAAAACTAAAATAGAAAATGTCAACTAATCAATTAAGTGGATGTTTTTGTTTCGCCTACCATATTCCCCAAATATCCATATCAATGCTACCGTTTGGTGTGTGGGTGTTTTCTATATGCTATATGTGGAACTAAGAAGAAGAAAACAAGTATAATCGTTACTTTTGAATTTTTTATTTTGCTTTCGCTTTTAATTTCTTAGTGATTAAGTCTTAAATTATTTATTTTGAATCTAGTTAACAAACTGAATCATTCATTTTTGTTTGTCTTAATTCTTCATTTTTTTCTTGTTTTTGCTGATTTTCCATTTCGAATTAATTTTTTTTTCATTTGCTTGTAGTGTTTCATTCTTTAATAATAATATTCATTAAATTTAATGTATGTTACTTCCAACCCCAAAGCATAGGTTGCATCATTTCTCTTTCTTTCATTCTTTCTCTCGCTATCCCTCTCTGTGTTGTTGTTGTTGTCATTTTTTCTTGCATTTTAATTCACTGCTTAAGAACTAAATACAATTTTCTTTTCATTTCCAATCAATTTATATTTATTTGTTCTTTTTTTCAGATTTTCATTTTTTTGTTTGTTAATTTCCTATAAGCGTAGTTTCATCGTAACTTATGGATTTCGAGAGAAGAATATTTAACATAAAAGTGTTGCATAAAAATTTGTTTTTTTTTCATTTCATGAAATGTTATTTGTTTTGTCAAATTAGAGCAGTTTGTGGTTGTCGGAACAGAATTTTTTTATTTTTAAAAAATAGACAATTGAATCGACAAGACTGAGTCGTTGAGACTATGTGGGGGAAAAACTAAGCACAACATAAAATACGGCACATTAACACATTACAATATTCTATTCCGGATTTCAATTATTATATGAACAGTTTTCCCGCTGAGACTCAATCTCATCGATTCAATTTTTGAAATTGTGTGGCTTTTTGTTGTTGTTATTGTAATTACATTTTCTTGTTTTTTTGTTCTCATTATTTCCTATATTCGATGTCCGGACCAAAGAAAAAAGTTATATCTCATTTTCACTTGCTATTTGATAAAGTATGTGTGATTTTTTTTATATAAATATAATATATTCGAAAAAAAGAGTTGTAGCTCAAGAAAATACACATCCGAATTATATGTATGTGTGATTGTGTATGTGTGTGTGTGTGTGTGTTGTGTGTATGTATGTAAGTGTGTGGTAATCATCACAATTAATTTGATTTTTCAGGTGAGTGATTTGCATATAATTTTCTTCATTTCATTCGTAAATTGTCGTAATGCTAATAAAACGTTAATTTAATTAAACGTTAATTTAACGTACAATCATTTCTTGTTATCAATAATGTAGGATTTATTTATAGCAAAAAGAGGATGTCATTTTATGTCGTCATTATTATACTATTTTTTCTCTGTGTGTGTGTGAGTGTGTGTTTATATGGAGTGTATATATGTGTGGGTAGGAAGAGACCACTCTTCGCGTACATTTTGTTTCGTTGGAATGGCTTTGGCTGAGATTATAGATTCGAAATTACGGTTGCTCACTTGATCTTTCTCTCTCTTTTTCTCTCTCTTTTTAATCTACTCAAAAATTTACATAATATGAAATTCGTGGATTTATATAAAAAATGCAATTATAAATGATTAAGTGTGTGTGTGTGTGATCCTGGCATGATTAGTATGTGTAATTTCGATTGATTTCCTTAATAAGGTTACTCTCTCTTTCTTTCTCTATCCGACACACGAAACAGAGACTAATTTGTCTCCAAACTCCAAGAAATTCAGTGCGAGATAATGAAGCCTCCATAATATGGAGTCCATATTAGACTTGCCAACAATTCTTAACCAGATGTTTATTTTCTTCTTCTTTTTTCTGAGAGAAAAAATCAAATAAAAAATGTATGTACTTGCGACATGTGCTCGCTTGTGATGCTTTTGTATGAACAGTTCTGAATGAGTGAATATACGAAACGAATTTTTTTTTATACAAAACAAAAGTATACCGAACGAACGAAAAATAATCATATAAATCCATATGAATAGTGATAATAATAATAGTAATAATAATAATAGTGGTCTAGCTGAATGAAATACACAATTATTTAATTATCTTTTAATATATTCAACTTAATACATCTTACAATGCTAAATTTCTAAAACCTATCTTTATAAAAAAAATATTTACATGAAGCAATACAAAAAAGAAAATACCTATATATTTATATATACGTAGTCGTATATATACCAATGAAGATCACTATCCGAGTGAATTAACTGGCCATGGTTGCGATTCTGGAGTATATAGCAAACTGCACTTGTGTCAACCATGTGATCATATCGATCCATTGGAATCTAATGATGATGACCATCATTGGCATATGTACGGCAACAATTTTTTCTTATTTTTTTTCTTCGATTGAAATTGATTGTAATTTACAAATAAATCTGACTATTCATTTTTTGTTGTTTGTTTTTGTGTTTCTTTCAAAAAAAAAAAAAAACTTTTTTTTTGCAGTTTTAGAAGAGATTGAGACAAATGACCTTAAGAATAAGAAAAAAAGTGTTTAAACAAACGTGTACGTTTGTTAAGTTTTCTTCTTGTTACGCTTATCAATTGAATTTTGTTCATTTCTACTTGTGTTGTTGTTGTTGTGTTTTTCTCTATCATTGTTACTTTTCATTTCATTTTCCAGGTTTTTTTTTGTATTTCAGTTTTTTTGATTGTTCTTAATCAGTATGTTCATTTAAAATTATGCTTCAAATACACGCAACATTAAAGCGAACAGAAAAATAGCGCAGCAGATTTTTTTTCTCGATTTTGTTTTTTTTTATTATATTTTATAGTTTTGTTTTGTGATTTTTTTTTGTTTGTTTAATTCATTTTTTTTAAATACAAATCTTCAACCATTTAATATTTGCTAAATTAATCATTTGTTTTCTGTACGTCACACACATTCTTTCTCTATCTCTTCATATATTCCTGCTTTTATCTAGTTTTCTAGTGCTTTCATTTCGTTCGGTCGCTCGTTTGTTGCTATTGCTGGTCTTTGTCTCGCATATTATTGCTTAGGAAATACACATAATTGGACGAAAAAAAAAAGAAAAATAAATGTGATTTGAATGTGCCGAAGAAAAAATGTTCATCATTTTGTTTCTGTTCGTGTTCGTTTGTGTGTGTGTATGTGTGAAGATTCTTCGTAAGAAGAAAATGGTATGCTTATAAAATGAGGAGGAAGATGGCGATTTGAATTTTAGAATTCTACAGCTTTTTTCTGCAGTTCAAAATCACAAAACAGATCATGTACGTGTGAGATCCAATTGAATGTTTGTTTTTCGTATGAATTATTAGGAAATCTAACTGGTAATGATTAATTAGAGTGAGTGTGTGAGTGTGTGTATGTGTTTGAGAGAGTTTTGTTGATTCACTGTAGAGGCAGCAACAATAGCGGACGACAAAACCGGATGACAGAGTGTACAACGGTAAGCAACTTATTTGTTTCAATGCGAATCTCATTTGCCAATCCATCTTTGGATTCCACATACACAAAGATGATGAACGGTATGCAACTTGCCACGATACTTTCATAAAATTTGCGAAACAATTTATTCACTCGATTCGATTTATTATTCGGACACATAACACAAACGCATATTTCAAATGGTATGAAATTTTCGATTTTGGTTTTATACATGCAAATATCACAAGTGCCGTGTCGCACATTCAATGATCATATTGGTTTTTCTTTATATGGCCTCATCTACTACTGCAAAATAAAACTTAATTTTTTTCCAATTGTTTTTCTTGCATTTTAAGAAATAAAATGTTAAATTACTTAGTACATTGGGCTGGTTCTTTTCTTCGTTTCTTTCGTTATTTCAACATTAGGTTTTATTTGTTTGCAGTAAAAGTTTTACGTTCATTACGTGTGCTGTCGATCATCTTGAGATCTTCAGATGATACAAGCCTCTCATTTTGTTTTTAAAAATTCAAAATGCACTCTTTTCTATCGTTCGTTCGGTCGTTCGTTCAATTTTATCTCTTGTTCGCTCTTTCTCTCTCCCTCTTCCAACCATTTTATAACACGCATTTTGCGTACAAACTGCCTAAATGTTTATATGTACCAAGTATAAATATGTTTGTGTGTTTTATTGTGTAGATTTTTGTTGTTGTTGTTTTTGTGGTGTATTTGGCGCCGAACCAAAAGTCGGACATAAATTGTGGCCAAATTTTCTCATCTGTTTATGCTAGTCGCACTGCCATCGTTGTGATTCAATTTTTCCGTTAAATTACCCAAATTTATTGTTTGATTGCTATTATTTGTGTTAATACTGTTTGCATTTGTGGATGTTGTGTTTATATCATTGAATATAATGGAAGATCCATCGGACGCTGTGCTTGTTGTTATGATCAATGTATTACCTAAGGGGAGAATCACAAAAGAAAAGAATTAATTTGAAATAATCGATAAATAATCGACAAATATTACCCGCTGCATTTGTTCCCAGCAATGTGTTTGTTGCTTGAGCCGAATTTGCATTTGCATTTGTCGATTGTCGGAATGCCGTTGCCAATTGTTGATTTTGTGATTGGCTTGATGACACCACCACCCGTTGTATTGTTTTATTGACAAGTCCTTGAACTGAACCACCGCTCACGATATTGACCACTTTTGGATTTATTTGTGTCAAAAACTGTGCACTGCCACGATTATTCTTGATGTTTGTATACAAGATGCGTGTTCGATCAATATTCTGCGCCATCTAAAAATTAAAATGAAAGAAAAAAAATGTTGAAATTGAGTTCATTTTCAAATTAAGTTATGCATCATAGATTTTGAGCAGGGTACAAGGGTTGCCCCTCTGTGATTTTAAAAGAACCCTATACAATTTGTCAACTTGTGAAGACCTCCAATTTTCATTCGATTTTCTAGATGTTTTTGACCGAAACTCTCCAAGTAGACACACTGGATAGAATCATCGATTCCAGAATCTATGACTACCAAATCAAAAGAAATATTCACCTTTTGCTGTTGTTGATAATGTATTTGTGAAACGTTTTGCGATGCAGTCGATGTTGTTGCACCCGACACCGTTTGGTCCATTCCACCTTGTTGTTGTGACGCTTGATTCATGTCAACGGCACCTTTAGCATCGATCACCAAACTACCTTGGGATTGCATTACCTGTGCCAACGATGGCACCAAATTCAATTTAATATTCGATGTTGGTATGGTAATTTTATCGGTCATTGATTGTGTGGCCAATGCCAAATTGGTGGACAGATGCGACGGATTGATGATCACTTTGTTTTGACTTTGTTGCGGTTGGCCAATTAGGGTAATCGGTTGATGGAAGGCTGCTTGTGGTGGTAAACTATAGTTGTGTTTTGATGTTGCGTTCGATGCATTTATCGTTGATATTGCATTCGATGACACAACATTAAAATCGGTCGGCAACTTTAGATAGGCCCCTTCAATAATTTTTGGCTTAACATCGTCTTTATCGTCGCCCATGGTGCGTGGCGTTATCATTTGGAATTTTCGATTTATCAGCAAATGTTGGATGCCTAATTGACGCCAAAGGAACAAAAAATGAAACGTGCAAACGAAACGATCAGAATATTGATAAATGTTTGTTTGAAGCGGGCGATTCGAAGCGATTGTACTTACCGGATTTTCCATCGGCCGGTCCGTTCGTTGTCAGTCGACGAATTGGTCTCGATGACAATATCAAAGTTTGATCATTTGTGGCGAAAGTTTGTTGGTGCGATTGCTGCTGTAGCTGAGCGGTTTGCTGTATAGTTATGGGCCGTTGAATTGCAGCATTCGAAACAACTGGCACATTGTTTCCAATTTCAGTCTTAATCACAGGAACAATTTGTTGTCGAACATGTAAACTTTGTTCGTCTACGTTCGATGTATTTGTTTCATCGATTGGCTCGTCTTTAATCTGAATTTCCATTGTGTTGTTTGGCATTGCGTTCGATTCGGCCACCTCAATTCCATCCAGTTCCTTCTTCACCGATGTGGATGCTTCACCGCCGCAACCATCACCACCAATTGAAATAGCACCGGTTGCATCGTTGGATGTTTGCAGTCTGCCCAATTTTGGTGCTCCATCCTTTGATGAATCACTTTTTACAAAGCAGCTTTCGTCATCGTGCAAATTCACAATGTTGAACGCAGAATGTCCAATTCGTTGATTTGGATGCGATCTTCGTCGTATGGGCTTTCGATCGATGATGTTCGTTGTTGAGGCCATTGCTGGTGCCGCACCATCGGTCGGCTGCTTCTTATTATCTATGACATCCAGTAGCGATCCATTTTCATCCAATAAACCATTCCAGAACGCATTCGGATTTATTGATTTTAGATCTTCAACAGAGTCAAACACTGTGAATTCAATTACAATACAAAAACATTAGAGAACAAGAAAAAATATGATAACATGTGATAGTATTCAATATTTGATATATATATTTTTGAGGGCGGTTTTGAATGAATGAATTTAATGTTTATAATTCAATGAGCGCAGCAAATGAGCAAACAAAAAAAAATCAAAATCTATGATGAAACGAAGTGATTTTCTATCAAATCTTTACGTACCATTTACATTGATCAGTATTTGTTTCAAAATAACCCTTAAAATAATAAAATTTTCATTAAAGAAAAAAACCATATTCAACCACTTACCATTGCATTCTTCCAGTAGTGTGTCGATCGCTTTGTCGTTCGCTTCATTGTCACCCAGACTTAATGTTAGACCAGGTAGACTGTCACCGCTCAGATTGAGTTCATCCGCAGATGATTCATCATCGTATCGTGGCGATGATGTCGAATCAAATGGATACGTTTCAATTTTCGGTGTGTTTGCTTGCAGGTATTCGTATGAGAATGGATTTGTTTTGAATGTGTTGTCAGCACTTTGATCGAAGATCAATTTTGGTGAATACTTTCCACTTGTGTCACTGGTGCTGGGCTGTGCCGATAACGTTAAAGCCGTGCCATTTGTTTGTGAACTGGTTGTTGCGCAATTGGCTTCGGTGATTCGTTGAATATCAACAGATAGTGATGCATTTTCGGAAAATTGTGGAAAATCTTCTCCAAATGTTCCAAAAATATCGAGCTCATCGTCCGGTGTTTTTGGCCGAAAGTGCAACCAATCGCCAAACATTTCGGAATACAATTCATTTGTGGCCGCTTTTTCATCGTCCGCTTGTAGAGACTCAGACAGATCGTTCGCACTTTCCGATATGTGATTTATAAAACTAAAGAAAAGACATAGAAATATTTTGATTATTTTTTTTTCTTTGGCGTGCCGACATCGTTCATTTTAAAATGTGGGCCGATACTTACGCTTTGCTACTTAAACTATTATTACTTTGTTGTAAGTGTGTGGACGTATTTGCTAATGCATTGTCAACAATGTTGTCCGACGTGGATGAGGGTGACGATCCAAATGGCGATGAGTGTGCTAAATTGAAATGCCTTCGTAATTCTGCGCTTGCATTTGAGGGCAGTCTAAACATATTATTTATGTTGCTTAAGCGATTATTTGTATTACTAGAGCTATTACTATTATTTTTGCTACTGTTGCTATTATTTCCACTATTATTATTGTTGTCCGTATTTATAATATTGACAGTTCCATTATTTCTATTTGTAATTGCGTCCAACGTCGTCGCCATCGTCGTCGTCGTCGTTGTCGTATTTACATCATTTCGCTTAACATCGAAATGTTTGCCAATGAGCGCATTTGCGCTATTGCCTTTAGTTCGATTCACTGTAGTGTCTAGACATTCGTTCACTGTCACTGTTGTCTTTTCTTCTGTTTTTATCACAATATTTTCCATTTTATCATCACTGCTAACACTGGCTTGCGAATATAATGACGTTGATTTTTGGGTATTTGTTGGCTCTAAATCGATGACAATTCTTTGCGATTTATCATTGACAATACTGTCTTGCTGTTGTTGTTTTTGCTGTAATTTTTTATGCTCATGCTGTTGGCATATCTCTTTAGCGGTGAGCTGTGTGTTACCAGAATAAATGGTATAGTCAAGATTTGCCCAAAATTCATCCATATTCGTTGAGATCCGATCCAAAACGATTCGACCTCCTCGACCACGTCGTCGACGAGCAAATCCGATACATTTGACTCTGTAAATTGGAATATTTAAATATTAGATCGATGACGATCGTTTATACATTTGTTGTTTGTTTTGGAATTTCATTTGGTTTCGATTAAATACCTCGGATGTCGGATTGATGTTAAGGTAAACCGGTACTTAGCACTATTTTCGCTTTTTGTCTCCCATGGCCAATGACCGTGATCATTTATAAGAGGCTGAGAAACAATATCCAAATCATTAGATTTTTCGCCGTTTCATTTTGTGCTGTCTGCACATTGTATATGCTATTGTATCTTACCCTATGGTATTGACTTGAGCTACTTCGTCTAAATGGATATAGTCCCTCGTTTTCGGTGTCGTGTCCTAAATGATTAAGGTTAATGATTGGCTCGTCCTCATCGGATGATGCCAAATGTTCGATGGTAGAACCTATAAAATACAAATTTAAAACAGAAAAAAAACGCAATGAAAACGAAACAATCGACTGGAAATGGGTGTCATATCATTTGAATAGAAAACTTACCAGACGCTTGCTTTTCGCGTTGGTTTTTGTGCTTCCGTTTTTTGTATTGCCGTTTCTCTTTTCGATTGTTATTATGAAGTGGTCCATCGATGTCATTGTTGCCATGTTTATTAAGTAACGATGACATACCTGTTGAATTCCCACTTGATGCATAATGCGATCCCGAATTCGACCAGTATTGATTTGATTGTTGCCCTGAATATTGATTCCCATATAATGGTGCGAAAGCCGATCTAGATTGAATTGAAAAGTGAAGATTTTGTTTTTTTTTTGTTTTTGTTTCAGTTTCGGATCGATTGGTATCGATGGTGTAACGTGTGTTTTGATAAAATTGATGCGAACCTCGAATTTTTCATTGCATTGTTTGTGTATTCGGCTAGCAGGTATCCATTGAAATCCCTAGCTTGATATCGTTTTTCGAATATTTCAATACCTAGATGAACATGTTCGCGCTTCGTTTTTTCACGCCGCTTGATCATCTCAAGTAACGTCACAGCCCGACTAAGATTTCTCCTAAAAATGAACAAAAAACAGTTTAGCACATTTGTATGCGGCAGAAAATTACGGCCAATGTGTCCACTCACTTCAATTTAAGCATTTTCTCATATGAGGTTTCGTCGTTCTTTCGATTTTTACGCGTTTGCATTTTTTCGGTTCGCCTCCTAAATGCTATATATGGATTATTCACCGCTGAACCGGCTCGATTCTCCGTCTTAATGGCTAGTATCAATGGATGTTGTGTGGTGAGACGTTTGTTCAACCAATAATCGTAAACGGCTATACTAATTTCATCATCTTGTTTGAGTAATGCTTTCGCTTCGTTCAAAGTAACGACCGTTTGGCCGGAACTTTTTTCTAAACGGTCCATCATCTCTTCAAATTTTAGCGGTGACAAATCAAAACGTCGATTTTGCGAACTTATCCAGGCCTCATCAGCACTATCCATGTCATAATCAGGTATATCTTGTTCGATACCAAGTGCTACAACATTTCGAATGAAAAAAAGAAAAACAAAATCAATCACAAATGCACGTCACAAAGCGAACGAAAAAAATATATATAAAAGAAATTAAACGTCATTTTCACACTTTTTTTTTCTTTTCACAATTTGTGCAAAACAATAACACTTGATAAGGTTCAACTCACGTTGCATACGTATCAGTTGACGGGAAACTTTGAAATCTTCCGGATAAATTCGATCGTAAAATTCCTGATCGATGTCGAATACTTCTGGTGTTGGGATTATTAAACCGGTGCATATTGCTCGCTGTAAATGATGTTCCTGTACACCGAAATGGTTGAAGCCGCAAAACAAAAACAAATACGCACGCCGCACACACACAAACGAACATTTAAAAAAAAATAGGTAAATAAAAACCACAAACAATTCGATTAATATGGGTTTTTTGTTGTTGTTTTCTATTTAATTTAAATAATATTCACTGAATTTCATTATATTTAAAATGTTTATCTAAAAAAATAATTGTAAAATAAATATTAAATGAGCGAAGCATTGAATTTGTGACATTTTCGTGTGTTTTGTTATCGTTTGAATGGAAATCAAAATTCGCGCCATTTGTGTTTGAACGGAATATTGTAGGAAAAACAAATACAAACAAAGAATATGTCAGTGTGTTGACACAAGCGATATATACTCTGTTTTTGTTTTTATGAATACGCTGATATCAATGAAGATAATAAACACAATTATAATTTGAAAATTTTGAGAAAAAAAAAACGCACATCGAAAATCCGCGAAAATTATAAAACTCGTAATAAAAATTGTATTTTCATAAATTGGGCACATGAAAATTGTGTATCGAAAAATGCATGTATTTGATTGCTTATATTGTTCCATTTCAAACAAGATGGCGTCGCCTCATTTCTTTCCCAAACACTAAAACGCACACAGAACACTAACAAACAAAGATGGCTACCGCAAAAATGTATGTTTTTCACACAAAGAATGAGAATGATTTTTGCGATTTTTCACAAAATAAAATGCCTTACGGATTCTTCCTCCTTTTCCATGCCACTTGGCATTTGTGGAACAGCGCGATTTATTGCCGAATATTCCGTCAAATCCGGCAATTCTTCCGCAATATGAATATTTAATGGTTTTGATGGATCGAGGGCCCTCGCCCGAAACGATAATTTCGACATTTTTGTGTGTATTTTAGGTTTGGTTACGTTCTTATTATGTTCCTACAGTTGTTGTTGTTGTTGTTGTTGTTGTTGTTGCTGTTGCTGCTGCTGTTGTTACTGCTGCCTGTGTATAACAGTGGTGTGTATCGTACAGGGATATACGCGAAAATCAATTGCGAAGTCGTAGTAGCTGGATGATTTTTTTTTTCTTCTCACTTTTCGTTCTTTCTTCTCATCTCTTTTTTTATAAACACAAGACTGATTTTCAAAAAAAAAATATTTTTTATTTGCTGGTCCGCAGAACGGTCGTTTTGGACCATTACAAAATTATTTAAAATCTCCCTAATTGCTATCCATTATGATTTTTTCATTCACTCAGTCACAATTATTAAAAAATGTTTGACAAACTTTTGTTAAATCGCGTGGTTTACAAAAAGCCATAATGGCGGCTAATGGCCAACTAATTCACATACACTCAGAAAAAATTAGTATTATGCTCCGCCATATTGCTTTGTGTCATCGTTCATTCGTTTTTCGAAATGTCAAACCGCATCGAAATGTACTAAATGTGAACGCCACCGCTGACAGAGCGCACAATATTGAAACCGCACATTACCGCGAATATATTGAATGAAATGAATGAAACGTTTTTTAATTGAAAATCACTTACATCACGAAATGATATACATTTTAAATTGTACACCATGAATTATAATCACTTTCAATAATAAAATACCATTTGTGACGCAAACTCACTTTTATAATTCAAATGTAATAGCTAATGATGTGAGTAACGCGCCCATTCAACTGTTTGTTATTTAGAGACGTTTGATATTGAATGCAGTTTTCGGCCACACTTCAGCATTTCTGTTCTAAACCTTATTATTTCGAAATGGATTCATTCAATGCGAATGTATGTGTTGGCGCACAAAAAACTATACACACAAATTTCATTCGATTCGTTCGTTTGATGAAAGGATTTTGGTTTTTCATTCGTTTCAATTTAAATAATGATACTTTTGAAATGGAAATATCTCTTTATTCGTCATCAAACAAAGAACATTTAAAATGATTCCATCACATTTAAATCACTTTTCGTTTTAAATTTTTTTCTCTTCAACCATTCAACCGTTTTCAAATTTGGAAATAGATCGAAATTACAATGAAATTAAATTGAATTAGTAAAAATTTGAATATGGGTAACAACCTTTTTTTAAATTCCAATATAAGTTCTGCGCAATAAAAATTCTTTTATTTGATTCCATGCTAGCTGAATTTGTGCTTTTTTAATTCAAAATCATACAACTATAGTTTGCATAACGTCATCAGTCTTTTTTGAATTATAGTCTTAAAAAGACTGCGTAACAAAAACAAAATATAAAAATAAATCAAACAATCTGAAATTGGAGCATCTTTGTCATGAATGACAACAAAAATGACGGCAAATACATAAAAATTGATTGAAATTTAAAATATCATTCGAAAATTGTCACAAAAAAACAAAATTATTTCTCACAGTCGATATGCAATGCAAAATAAAGGAAAGCCTAAATCAAAAATAAACGATTCAATCTTGCCTCCAAATTTTTTAAAAATCAAATTCACATGTTTGTGTCATTTGATTTGGAAAAAGAATTTATTAAATGTTGAGGGAATCATTCAAAAAACGTTCCCTCCTTTGAGTATACACAAGGTATATAATTGAGAGAATTTGTTAAAAAAATATTTCGTCGAAATTCTACTCACGATTCAAATAGAAAAAAAAACAAAATCCAAATGAACCATGAAATCATACATTTTGATGATATTAAACATTGAAATGATAAAATAATTGCCAATAGCGATATTCAATTTGCATGGCATGGGTGGGTTTCATGTCAAACTATACATTTGTAGATGCATTCAAATATTACGAAAACGGTGTGTTCTAAAAATGACAAAATGATCCATGTCATTCCAGTTCGAAATTGTTCGAAATTGTTCGAAATGTCGTATTCGAAAAATAGGCGTTTTTTAGCAATGTGCTGAGCAGGGAGTCATGTGTCAAATTCAAAAACAATTGAGCGGGAGGAAATCACGGCAAAGCAGAATAGCTTGGCTAAATAATTATTTTTAGATTTGTATGATTTTTTTTTGTTGTATATTTATTTGGGGGGTTAATTTTGCGGCTCAAAAATCTGGTAGTCAATTTCATTTGAAATAGCTAAAAACAAAATACAACAATTTATGTCGTTGAATATTACCTGGGTAATGGTTTTATGAAATTTGCCCTGCGTATTCAGACATTTTTGACACTCTTCTTTAAAATGAGTATAAAATTTATAAGTAAATTGTACAAAAAAATCATAAATTCTCATACATCGAACTTTATTACTAAAACGAGCATTTAATGGGTACTCCCTCGTTGAGTGTACTGGAACGCATACAATTGAAATGTCATTGCATTGTTGTTTACCGATTTGTGTTGATTAGTTAGTAGTAAGGTGCTCATAAATTCAGATGTTGTCATAACAAATGTGCCAAAAGATTTTGTGATCGAATTAAACGAAAAAAATAAAAAATTGATTGAATTGCGAAAATAATCGAGTTATTTTTTTCTTCGCTGATATAGAATAAAAAGAATGTTTCCAACCAGTTCACAACGTCATTTTTGGACTTTTCACAGTGAAGAACAAATCCAAGAACTTCGGCGAAAACATAACCAAGAATATCAACAGAGATACAACGAACGTTTGAATTTAAATGTAAAATATTTTCGATTTTTGTTACATTTACATAAAATGCACCGACAATTGAGTGAGAGATATTTTTGATCAGCTGAAAAAAATCAGAGCTGAATATTGTCTACTATAGTTTATATGAGAGTGAAAGAGAGGCGATGATTTGAATATTCAAGTCACCATCAAATTCGTCTAAAATCAATTGAAAACGAAATTTTGCCTCTCTTTACGCTATCCTCTTCTTTCATTCTCATAAAAATAGCCGGTACACTATAGCCAAATGATATATTTCAATGATGCGAAAATATTTCAGTAGAATATCAAAAACTGATATTGACATTTGTATCTTTGATTTTAGCCTGAACAACAGAGAGCATTCTTTCTATCCTACGAGGAAGAGCAAAAACTATTACGTAATTATGAATACAATTTGAAAGAATTTTGCCGGCGATTCGAGCCACCGATGCCAAAATGTGTGGTTGGAACTGCGTTCCATTATTTCAAACGATTTTATTTGTACAATTCGGCGATGGACTATCATCCTAAAGAAATTTTGTAAGAGACACATTCGAAAAATCACAATTTTTCGAGCGAATTTAATTTTTTTTTCTTCTTCTTGGTCATAGGGCCACTTGTGTTTACCTGGCATGCAAAACGGAAGAGTTCAATGTGTCAATTGGACAATTCGTTGGCAATATCAGAGGTGATCGTGTGAAAGCAATGGATATTATTTTATCAAATGAATTATTGTTGATGCAACGACTGAACTACTACCTCACCATACACAATCCATATCGGCCAGTTGAAGGTTTCTTGATTGACATTAAAACCAGAGGCTCATTGCTGAATCCGGATCGATTGCGAAATGTTATTGATGACTTTCTGGAGAGATCATTCTTCACGGAAGCCTGTCTTCTCTATGCACCATCGCAAATTGCACTGGCTGCTGTACTGCGTGCCGCCAGCAAAGAACAAGAAAATCTTGATAGTTACGTTACTCAATCGTTGTTTGGCGGTTGCCAAGAAAAATTAGATACATTAATTGGAGCTGTGCGTAATATACGTTTAATGGTTACAAAAGTTGCTATACCCGAAAAGGAGGAATTCAAACGAATCGAAAAAAAATTAGAGAAATGCCGAAATCAAGAAAATAATCCAGACAGTGAAGAGTTAGTTGATTACGGTTTTATTTCAATTTATGAAGAGCTCGGTCGCCAACATTCACTGTCAAACATACAACTTTAACCGTTATTGTTGTTGTATACAAGTGACAGTGTAAATATTTGGTTGCCAAGCACGAGGTTCTTTCATATGCACTAAACAATGTCTTGATTACACATTTTAGATACAAAATTCGAATGCGACGAATGATGCTGGAGGATGAAGACGATCTAGACGTCGCTCTTGACACAAGCTCATTTTCAATGGTGGATCGGACCAGTTTGGCCAACGAATCTATGATCAGCCTAGATCCTTGAAGGATCCTTGAATTTGGTTACACTTACGTTTAAAAGCTGAATATGCTTAATCATTCTCAGAATCTGATTCGTTGAATTTTTTTTGGAGCGCATTCTATCATTCCACTCATGTTAGCGTGCATTTTTTTTATTGTTAAATTAGAATTAAAACGGATTTGTAATTAAAGAAATATATTAAATGAAAAATACTTACTTTATTTATTCTGATGAAGCAAATAATGGAATCAAGAGTGCTGTCATCAACATTTTGTTGGTTTACCTTGGTCGGTTCTAGATGAGTGTACAACTTATACTTACTTCAAGCAAAATTATATGATCCGAACGGAGTGTCTCCACATTTTGTAAGGATGCTAATTTTCCGAGTCAAGACCTATTTTTGCTCTTCATTTTGAAAGTGCATTACATCCTCATCACCAAAAATATTGAGCAAAAAAGATCATCAAAAATTAAACGGAAATTTGAAAATGTCGGAACTCGAAAGGATCGATTTGTACTCTAAAAAATTTGGCAACAATTTTGGACGTTTTTCCTTTTATTATTATGAATAGTAGAGTGGAGTGCAGAAAGGAGTTTTAAAATGTTGAAATATTCAATTTGATATAGTGTAAATTGGTCCTTTCCCACTCCTGCCTTTCACACACCACCAAGACCCAAAATGCATGGTCATAAAAACCGAAATATAAAAGTTAAAATTTCGAATAAAAATATCTTTAATAATTTCTTCGTTTTGTTTCTTATTTAGAACAATTTTTCGTTTTATTTATCATGATACAATTTTGAGATGTCAGAGAAGTCGGAAAACAATTTAGATTCCAGCATTAAACTGAATCAAAAAAATTGTCAACATAGTCTTTAATAATAATAATCCTACCAAATAAATGGATTTAATGATAAAATCATTGAAAAAAATTTATCAAATTGAGTTGCTTTTATTTTGGATATGATGACGCCGAGTAAATTAGAATTTTGGTATTTACATAATAATGATATAAATGAAATGTTTTGTTGTTTGTCATGTATTAATTCGAAAATAACTGCTTTTCTTTCATACTACACACTTTAAAATCTTCAACTTATGCTTAAATTGTTTTGTAATAAAATCTAAACATTTTTTTCACATTATACTATATTCATTCATCCATCCATTGCAATTAATAAATGCACTACGTAATCTATCATGACATTTTTCTACATTTTAAATAAACATTTCTGATTTGAAATTTAAACTAGTTAAATGAGCTCCTCGTTTTACTACCAACAAATTTACAAATACATTAATTGGCATACGAAAAACAAAACAATGAATATCATTTATGTTTCCACTTTATCATTAAAATGATGTGTTTCTTTTTCCAATATTAACAATTTCTTTTAGATATTATTTCAAAATTTAACCGAACAAAACAAAATTCAATGAAATTAAAACTAAATCTATATTTATTTATATCCAATGTTGCTAGTAAACGATATGATCATTTGTAAAAATGATAGCGTTGCCCGTTGCAAGGGAGGGAAAAGAAATTTAAGTTGGTGTATTTTACATAATATACCATTTTGATTTTGTTTGGATGCAGGATATTGTGTCTTTTCATTCATCATTTGTGGAAAGAGTGCAGGATAATTTGGGTGTATCGTATCAAACGAGGAAGGGTTATCATTTGATTCATAAATTTATTTGATTGTGAATGAAAGGAGTTTAAATCGCGAATCTTAAACAATCTAGATATTAATCCAAGTTGAGCAAATATCAAATGAGTTAAAATGCTTGAGCAATTTAATTTATTCGAACGCAATAAAATGATTGAAGCAAATCGCAGGCGTAAATAAAGTGCATACTGTCTTATAAAAAAAAATTGGTTTTCAATTTGCACATTTCATTCCCGTTGAGTGTGGAATTGAATTGTGCCACTTTTGAAATTGAATTGTACACAATTTGTGTATTTTGTACGAAGCAAAGCTTCATTTTGTTTTCGATACTTCGAATTGGGCGCGCACGCTGCGTGATCAAATAAGGACTGGATATAAGGTATTATTTACAGGAAACAAGTGATATATTTGTAAAATACAACAAATTAAATTTTGTAAAAATGGATCGAAAGCCATTGTGTACACGTAAAAATATCAGAGCCTTGGCATCATATGTGAAAAAGCATTGCTTTCTTTTATATCTTCATGTAGATAATATATAGTTCTAAGCTTTGACTTTGTCGCTTTCCAGCGCATAGATTCGCAACTGGATTGTCATTTTTTTGGGGTGTATGTGTGTGTGTGTGATTTTTTTTCTTTCGTGTGTGTAATGTGTGCAAAAAATTAACGATTAATGTGTGAATAAATGCAAACAATTTCGTTCGATTCATCCGAAATCTTTTCATTTTAATGTTTTCTTGTTTCGCACACGTCTAGTGTGGGGAAGGTGTTTTTTTTTGTTGTTGTTGCATTCGTTCACACATTTCAGTAGCTAACTATGCGCATATTGCAAATAGCTCAAATGTTGATCTATATAAGCGTTAATCGCGTTCCGCATATGTTTCTTACATTTTTCTTTGGTAAATGCTCTTTACTTGTGAGGAAAATACATTTTCTTCGTTTATTTGGGTTTTTTTTTTAAATATGAAAATGTTGTGTGTATGTGTTTCAATTACGCCATTTGGCGTTTATAGTGTGTGTGTGTGTGTTGTTGTTCTGTTTTATATGAATTTTAGTTGTCTGTTTATTTCACGCTATTTATAAGTTCACCAAGCTTTTGTGTGTCAGATTCAAAGATCTACTTCATTATCATAGAATATTTATTTGAGTCATTATTCTGATAGAATCGAAGGAAAAAAAGCACTTTTATCCAAATGCACTCGGAAAAGGCATACGACCATTGTCCGTAAACCGTATTGAAAGTAAGTTTATTGAAGTTTAAGTCGAATTTACGAATACGAATTATAAAAATTGTCAGTTTTTATAAATATTATTTATGAAATAAATGAAATGTCGTGAGATTCGGTTTCGTTTTTTTTATTGTTGCTGTTCGAATTCGGTAAAATTCAGTGAACTTATATTATTTGATTTCTTCTTCTTCTAAGTTTTGTATAAATATTAAGCTAGTAAATGCTTTTAATTCCATATGTCTTATTATTGCTTTTAATAATTTCAATCAAGAATTGAATCAATTACCGTTGAAATTTCATCGAAACATTACGTATTGAGGAAAATAATTTATCTTATCGAGAAATAAACATTTTCTCGATAACACAACGAATTGAATTGTTCAGCAAGCACGATAAAATGAATATATTTTTGTTTGTTTGTTTGGTGCATGTCAAACGTTTAAAAAAGAGTGCATTAATTTGAGTAAATCGATCGTGTATCGCGACGACAAGTTCGAAAGATTTTGATATTTAGACATATATAGAGAGAGATAGAGAGAGTGTATGTGTTTGTGTATTTAATTGGAAAATTATTTTAGTTTTGTTTTCTGATATTAGCTGTTCGAATCGAGTGACATAGAAGGTGAAGCATTATGGGCGTGATAATTACGAACAAGTGTTTTAAAGAGAGTTTTCTTTAACGGATTTTGACCACTTAAATAAAACCCTTAAATTACAGAAACAATTGTTTCCATAAATTCATGAAATGCAGCGCCTATGCTGGACATAATAATGGTGCCATTGTTTTGTCCGCCATAGGCGCTATTTCTTATTGATATATCAGTAGCTGCATATACATATCTATCAATTGGGGAAAATTTAAATTGGCCAAAAGAGTGTGTATTTGTTTGTGTTTGTGTTTACTTTTGTATTTTAAAAAACATAATGTGTACACAGTATGTGAAAGTTCGAGAAAATCCACTGAACTTGTGTTAAAACGTAAGAAGGATTAAAACACGTTGTTCAATGAATTTATTGCCACCAACATAAAATTGAAACGAGAAAAAAAAACCATAAGCAAACAAAAAGCGTTTTAAAAGCCACTGGATCAGAAATTGACAGCCGAGTGAAATTGAAACGAGAGAGTTTCAAATGAACATTAAAAAAAAAACGAAAATAATAACAGAGAAGCTGTTGATATTGTGATTGAGCGTGTAAGTGTGATCGATTTTAACATCGAAACTCACAAATTTTCTTTTTTAAGTACTCTTGAACATTGTATGAGATCGAATAGGGTGAATCAGATCGAACTGGGCCGATTCCACGAAACTCGAATTCAGTGGGAAAAACGCATTTTATTTTCGTTTTTAAAATTCGGACGTTTACGCTACATATTCACTGCATTGAAATTTCTATTCGAAATAAAAGAAAACTAAACACACAAAATAAATAGCACATTTTACTGTCTCTTCAGCAAAAAAAAAAAAAAATCGAAATGGAAAAATGTTCGGACTTTTTTTCATTGGTTTTTTCTTCTTTCTTTGTGTGTTTGGTGTGGCATTTAAAACGGATTGGTTATCAATCCAATCACATAGATAAGGATCAGCATGAGAATTTCATGCCGATAAAATTGAAAAAAATCAAAGTGTGGCGAACTTTTATTACACATATCTTCCTCACAAAAACACATATGGCCCTTGCCTGAACTTTCCATCATGCACACATGGTCAACCATGAATAGATTTATTTGCAACTGTGATGTACACATGCGACGAACCACCTCATACGCTGCGAATGAAAAGAAATGGTCAAAACAAATAGAAACAATAACGTGGTCGGTTATTTTTTTATTTTTTCGTCATTGGTTTTTGTTACACCAAAACCAAAATTCAAATTGGCATCGTCGTGATTACGTACGTGATTTGGAATGTCTAACCATTTTGACGCAGCATCCGTTGCACGTCATCAGTGGCGGTTGATCTCGTGGAAGCGCTGTATAATTGAATGGGTCCTTGCATCGTGCATCCGTCCAACTGTCGCATTCGTAACAGTAAATTGATCGAGCTATCCACGCGTATAAGAATTGAAAATAGCTTCATTTTTCGATTTTTTTTTTCTTAAAATTTGTGGTTACTTTGTTGCAAATCAATAATCACAAAGGAATTTGATGTTTTTAAAATGTATAAATTTTTTTTGTTAAAATAACCACAAAAGTTATATGTTTTTGTTAACAAGTAGGAAGAGAAATTCAATTTCAGCTTGATTAGACTTTTATCAAAAATGAATTGGATTGATGTGATGAGAGAAATTTATGTATATATTTTTTACAATATAAAACGTTGATTATTTATCATATTTTGAGGAAAGTAGATTTGAGATGAGTGAAGCAAAATTGAGATGAGAACAGAACAGAAAAACCTTAAGTGAAACACAAACATCGAAAAAAATTATTATTTAAACCAATTGAGAAAATGAAAAATTAAGAGATATAAAATCAGTGATTGTTCCTCTGAGAAGGAGGAAATTTTTTCAAACCAAAAAAGATATTTTTGTGTTAAGAGAACTCCTTTTCTTCTCACTTGAAAAGAAGGATCCTCTTCAGCACTCCTCAGAGGAACAATCCCTGCATAACGAATGAGAAAAACGTGAAGACAGTTTGATCACATCGATTATTATTATCTTACTTTGACATTCAGCATTGATTTGCGGTATCCAACAAACATAAATGCCAAACAGAACTGCAACGGTAGAGAAAAGCAATAAAAAGCGTTTTAATTAAGTTGGTGTTAGATGTTTGTGATCAGTTTTGTTTTTACTTCCCAGCATTGGACACACGCGGTTATTAATATATGTTAAAGAATTGGACACATTCTATGACTTGATTCTGGTATGAGTGCAAAATATACCCGTATGTCACCTATGTGTGTGTGTGTGCTTAGAGTACGTGCATTTTGTGGAAAGTACACTGTACGGGCTGACATATCAAATATGCTACAAAAAAAAAATATTATCGCAATCACAAAGATGCAATTAATGCTGTTGTCACATGATGATGATAGAACGATTCACACGAAGCGGCATAAAGAAATTACTTGCATCAAGCGGAAAATACACACCGATAGTTTTACACCTAAGGACTTACATGGACGACATCGATATGAAAAGCAACAGTGTGTGAAATACGTCAGTGACACTGTTTTGAGTATGTGTTTTTTTGGAACATTATTTTTGGTTTGTTGGTAATTTATTTGGTTGGTCGAAAGCGGCCAGTGTGATTCGGATATGACATGAATATAAAGTACATAGATCAAAATTAAAAAAAAACTTCCATTGAATAAAATGAAAACGAATATGGAAAAAAGCTTATTATAGTACAACAACATTGTATTTTCAACAATAATAAATGAATAGCAACTACAGATGTTTGAAAAGTCGAGAGACGAAAAAGTTTCAAACCAAATGAGCTTTTCAATGTGAACTGAATGTATAATTTCATGCATGAACTTCATTAACTAAATATCACAATATTTCATTCACATCTCCCTATATATACATACTTGGTTGTGCCTTTTACCATCCACTCATTGACAACGTCTAATCGGATATTATCTCATATTTCTTTTCTTTATGTATATATTTTACTGGACACAGATAAAAATGCAGCAAAATAAGGGAAATGTTTAGTTTTTTTGTGCATTAACTTACATAAACCAATCAGTAGTCCATATGTTGTAGGCATTTTATGCGTGTGCTATGTGTGTGCGGCTCGACTCTTTTGGACACCGTATTGTCAACTCTTTGTTTCGCTATTTTTTTTGCAAAATTTTCTTAAGCACACGGTTGATGTGCGACTACACAGATGAATTGTGGTGGTTTGAATTTTTTAATTCAATCACTGCTGTGTATGTGTGTGTGTGTGTGTTTTAATCAAAACAAAAAAATCGAATCCAATTCAAGCCGATTTATGTTACCGTTCCGATTAGTCCCGCTATTGCTATATAAATTCAGTTTATATGTGAACTCTTTGAGAGTTCCATTGTTATGGTGTGTGCAATTTTGACAATTGTGGCCCTATACACCATTGGACAAAGAAAAAAGATTTTTTAAAAAACATTCATATGTTCAGTACTTAAAATATAATGACACATTCGAGAGGTTTGTTGAAAAAAATCTGTATGAAACTGGGTTACAAAATCAATACAAAACGAAATATAATAAAGAATCGACCATCAAATCATCTCGAATCATTGATGTGGCTCCTTTTTCTCCAAAAGAACCTATTTATAATTACACGAATCTACACTCTCTTCCATTGATTTTACACACAATACACTTGAGAGTGGTTTGCACAACATTCGTAAAAATGTGAAATTTGAATGCAAACTACTGCAATAGCGTTTAAAGTGTTACACTTTAAGAACAATGAAATTTTAAATTGCCAAATCCTCCAAACTAAATACTGAACTGTGCTTTGAACGTGTGCAAGAATAAATTTCACTGACGACGACAAAAAAAATCCACTCCACTTTTGCGAATCTGATCGATTTGAAGAATGGCTCTAAAATGAAACTATATATGATTCACATTATGCAAAAGGCAAGGTGGAGTCCGCGAATGAATATCATTATTGCGACCAAAAAAGCCCGTCGTTTGCATTGGCCCAATTCATGTCAAACAAGAAATCATCCATCAATCACTTCAAACATTCATCACACATCATAAATGTAATTTATTACGAAAATGTTGTAAAACACAAAAATTCGAACGATAAACATTTAACACACAGATTTTTAATTGAACTACAATACTTGATTTATCTATCATTGAGAACAAAAATTCGATTCGATCATCGATTTATTTCACCGTTTGATCACAAACTCAATATATTTCATTTGCATATTTATTTGATTCGTCTATTTTACAGATGCCAAAACATTTGTGGCCTTTGATATGACTATCTTCAATTTATTATTTTTTCTCTCTCTCTCTCTCCTTTTCTTTACATATAAAAACGATGAGCTGTTTCTACATCAACGTGGATGGATTCGATTAAATTTCTTTTCGTTTAACTTTTCTCAAAAAAACCAATTCGCTGTCATTTTTCCGCTTTAAATTGATTAAGTACATTTAAAATTCGATGAACATCGAATCAAAACTTATTCACAGTTGAATATTTTTCTTAAAAAAAAAAAAGAAAAAACTTTTTTCCTCGTTCGTTCAGTCGACGAAACGCAATGCGACACACAATCGCATGTATCGCGTAGGATATTTTGCAAACAAACTGCTTGCAGCTGAAAACGGAAAAACCTGTATAGTGCCTCTTTCACTCTTTATGCGCTATGTGTGACATATGAACAGAATGAAAAAAAAAATTATGAGTCCGTGTGTCTTTCTGGTTGACGTTGTTCGCATGGAAAAGTCAACCTATCCAAATTGCAAAGAAAAGCGCCAACGAAAATAGCTGCAAAACAGTTCTAAATATTTAATATATATTACATACACAAATTATATATATATATATATATAGAAACGGGTGCCTGTTTCTTTCTCTGTTTTTCACCGTGTCGATGTCGTTGTCGTGTTTATTGACGTTTTGATGTGCGCGTCCTCATTCGCGGTACCTGTGTGTGTGCGCGCGGAAAATTAATGGGAAACATATATGAAAAATATGAAAATATGTTATCGTAAAGCGTAAACAGAAAATCAAAATGCATAAAGGAAAAAAAGTCGCTTCTTTAATTATTGCAGCATAAATGATTCTTTGAAGATATGTGTCTTTTTTTCGTTCGATAGTTACGAGGCGACACGGCTTTTTCTTCCCGTTTTATCGTGGCATGAGCAAACGCAAAGAATGAACGTGAAAGAGACACATAGAGGGGAATAGTGAGAAAATAGCTTTTAGGTATTAGACCAACAACAAGCGCACGTGCGTGTGAATGTGTATGTGAGTGTGTTGACATTTGGTTCTGTTTTGTTTCTGTCAATTCGTCTGCTTGCAAAATAGCTACACGATTCTCGGTTTTAAAAACGTCACAATACACACATTTTTTCGTTCTGTTATAAGTGATTTATATATTATTTGTTTTTATTTTCATTCTTTATTATTTTTGTTTCTTCTCTTCTTTTTTTCACCTCTGCATATATATCGGAGTGTTGGTTTTTCAGTGTGCATAGATAAGACTGTTTGTTGAACAATGGATGAAATGAAATCGAATTTATTAACACCTGAAATACTTGAAGAATGTTTGAATAAAGAGACTTGCTTCAATGTGATCAAGCACAATCGTGACATAACATTGAGTTTAAACAGTGGCGATGAAAATAAAAATAATTCCAAATATATCGGTAATGGTTGTATGCTGTTCAACTTCATTTTTTTTATTTATTGTTTACACACGCTGATTTGCCGTATCAGTTGCAATGCAAATAGAAATCAATGTGTACAATTGTTTAAACTTGTTTTCTCTCTCTTTTTTTTTTCTTTTTAAACTGAATTTCAGCTGATCAAACACCGACTCCGACCACTCGTTTGATACGAAACTGTGAAGAATTCGGTCTATTTGACGATTTAAAGCATGTAAATCCATTCGAAGAAACATTTCGTCAGGCCATTGATGACAAAACAAAACGACCCAGTGTCTTACTCACTACACAAAAATCACACGAAATCATAAAATGCAATGACGAAGACACGCTTCATACACCGCACATCATTCCCTACAATACAATCGATTGCAATGATGATGATAAACGTAAAAATGATCCAGATGCATTAAGAACTAAAGAAACGAATACAAATAAACAACCAGTTGTGATACCAGTGATAGTTTCAAATGACTCCGTAACGTCTAGTTCAATTATTGTGTCAACCAATGAAATTGTCACCAACACCACCACAACAGTGGTTGACAATAAGGAGAGTTTGGAACAAATTACAGGGAAAATTAAAATTATCGAAAACGATGAGATCGCACAAAAAGTGTTTCGAAAAATTTGTCCAAAACCAACCGTTGTGCCATTAGTAACTAACGTATCGAATCCAATAAAAGAAAAAATTCGCAAATCACTCATGAAATTGCGAACAACACGAAACAATGATAATAATGAATTCGATGCTAAAGTTCCAGCCACTGTTAAAACTCACATTTCCACAGCAAAAGAATCACATGTCAAAGATATTCCCAAGGAAGAGATAAAACGACAAGTATTGAAGCGTGGCACCATTTTACACGATAATTCGATCAACGAACGTAATCGTGAAGCAGCCAAACGATATCGAAACAAGCAAAAAATGCGCCATGATGCATTGATCGAACGGAATGCACAATTGGAAGCCGAAAATAGTATACTCAAAAAGCAATTGCAAGCGCTTAAAAAGGCCCATGAAAATTGTTCAGTGAGCCGTCTCTATGACATATAATTTGGATTTTTTTTTATTGATCCAGTATTTCCTCTTTTTGACTCACTAGCCAACGATAGTATTTTTTTTTATGTTTAAAGCCGACTTTAAATGACAATACTCATTACTTATACTATATTAAATTGATGTATATCAGATCTCGTATGTACCTTAATTGAAATAAATTTCGATATATTTTTTTATTCAATAAAATGTTGGAACATTTATTATTAAACTTATGAGTTGTATCACGATTGTTATGCTTATAGTGTTATTTGCACACAAATGCATACTCTCATTAGCTCTTCCGAACGATGCCAGCGATATGACGTGGAATGGGTGCTGTATTTTTACTACGTTGTTGGGCTTCTATGCTGATTGATTTCAGCGATTTTATAACTTTTTTCGGTTCGGTCAAAAACCATACCCAAAGCACTTGCTTGTGACGCCAGTATTTATCATTTGACTAATTGGAAAAGAGAAAAGATAATTTAAATTTGAGTGAAAAGAATTCTATGTTATAATTTTTTTGTAGATGACAAACCCATTTCTTAATGTAATGGCCACATTCTCCTTTCTTTTGGTCATTCTTTTCACGAATCATTTGAAGTTCACGCTCCAAAAATGATTTCTTCTTTCGATACCAAGCACTGTACTGTTGCGGCATTGCAATCGGACCATCATAAAGGTACTTATTCGCTAGATCTTCGATGTAAGCCCTAGAAATATACATGACACAAACAATGAACCTTAGATAGGACCATTTTTTCTCAAAATAAATATTTCTCAAAACTTACGCCTTTTTGAAAAAATCATGATTGCGCCAAAGTGTATAAATATTGTTTTCTGTATTTTGTATGAGCTGTGAAACGCTCGATCTGAATTCGTCGACCGATAAAATGCATTTTATCACTTGTTCGATTACCGATCCAGTATAGCCATTTTGATTCACTTGCAGCAACTCCATGAATTGATTACAATAGCACTGAACCAATGCATCGTCGTTGAGCTTTCCTATCATATTCATAAGTTCCTATTAAGATGATCCGAAAAAAGAATCGATTACAGCAAATTTCCAATAAATAATCAAACAAAATTCACTTACAATTCGACGATTGCATCCATGTGATTCCATGCGATACGCATCCAATTTCGAATCGTAGTTATTTCGATTTTTCATTCGTTCCATGTCTAATTGCATTAGCACCCAAAATAATTCCGATAATATCACCGTTTCTGATATAATATCGGCAAATCGCGTTAAAAAGTCCATTCGCTGTTTGGCCCGTCCCATTCGCTTTTGATTGCTTTCATAGACCAATGCTTCGACATCTAGTTGAGCCAATTCAGCTGCCTGCTCTTGTAGTTTATGAATCAAATGCTGTTTTTGCGATTCATTCAGCTCATTATCGCGTTCCATTTGCAACATTTCACGCCTGTAACGATTATTTTTATTTTCGATTCGATAATTTTTAGTTATTGCTGAATAATAATAATACCTCATGCCCATTAATGTTGATGGTGACCAATTTTGCGCTTTAAACTGATTTGTCAGTGCCGTTTTTGCTCTGCAATTCATTTCGGCCAAATATAATTTGTTGTACGCATTGAGCAGTCTGTGAGGAGAAAAAAAATCGAGATATATTCGGGAACGAGAACAAAGAAATCTACAAAACTTACCGATCAGCAATAATACTTAGTTCAGTCAATAGTTGAGCTTTCTCATCGAAAATATTGTCATCTTTAAGCATTTCATCGTCATTGGTCTGTAACATTAAATGCCAATTTTGTTTTTGGTTTGAAATTCAATAAATGTAAAAATTGATCGAAAATAAAAGTGAATGTGTGCCATGGCCGTACCTGTACTTTGAAATTCTTTTGCATAAAGTGCTTGGCATTCGTATTGAATTGCTCCAGTTGACGAAAGTAATCATTCAGTGGCATTTGATGCATGAACAACGGATTTTGGGCCTAAATTAGTTCGAAAGATTAAGTGATGCGGTTAATTCATGTGAAACTCTTTGCATTGAAATGTATTATCGGTTTAAAAATTGCTAATTTCCAACTAAATTTGAATTGGAAAAAATTGGATTGGATCAAAATATGGAAATTATTCATTTTCGGATTTATACAAATAAATCCACGATGCCAATTATTTTCGCGAAATTTAAATCCTTGTCCTTAAATTGTATCAACCAACACAACACCGTATTAATAAAAACCAAAATATCGTACCGGTTTTAGGTAAAGTTGTCCCAGTTCATTAATCTTGCGTTCGTTAGAGAGTTTTACTTCTTGTAGCTCTTCCATTTTTCTTAAACATTCATCGGCCACAATCGGTTCTTCTGCCATGAGTCTTGCTTTTTTTCCTTTTAAAACGGTCAGTTCCTCGATGGCATCCAAATTGGCGACCCTTCAAATTGAAACGATTTTTTATTATTTTCTAAACCTATTGAAACTTATGGAAAAAGTTCGAAATGACTAGTTTCTCACTTGGCCTTTGCAATGAGATCATCATAAAATTCATCTTCCTGACTGACAACATCGATAAGTTGTTCCAATTCAGCAATTTCATCTTCATTTATTGACCATATCCCATCGAATTCTCTGGAAATGTTTTCCTTTCGCTGATCAAGAGTGATTGTATTTTCATTTTCTTCTCTTTTCAACCGGGCCAATCTAAACCAAGAAACCATTAAGGATTTAAAAACATTTATGTATTATCATCGGCCGATCAACATACTCAACCAATTCTTCATCTGTCAAAACATTGACATCGTTGATATTATCTTTGAAAAAACCAATAAATTCTTTCCAATCTTCGTCTACCAAGACCCATTCTGGTATTCCGCATTTGCGTAATATAGCCAAATTCTATAAAAAAAGGAAAAATACAAATTAAAATAAACAAAATTCATGAATGATGCAGCAAATGAATGTGTACAAACCGTTGCTGGGTCTGCCATAAGTAAAAACCAATTCAAATGAACAAAAAAACCAAACAAAATGTTTTTCCCGAAATAAAAAAAACTACTTTTATACAACACAAAAAACAAATAATAAACTCAAATGTACAAAATGTTCAGCAAATATTTATGGCTTGTTTTCAAATTGAAACAAAATAAAGAAAACTAAAAAAATACAAATACAATGTTTCTCATCTGTCACGATTCCGTTTAACAGAAATTTTGAATGTAAAAACATGAGAAAAGAGCGTAAGTTGACGTTTGTTCAATGTATGAAAAATGGCGGTGCAAATGTATCGCCGACATGTTTGCATCAATACATAGGCAGCGCACATAGTGATATGTCAAAAGTCACAGACGAAAATAAACGAAGCAGTCAAAGGAATTAGTTGTACGATAGGAGTAACGCGCTGATAAAAGATGACCGAACTCAAAGGTAATTTTTAAATTAAATTTCATTTATTCTTTTCTTTTTCAACGTTTTATTGAATGCTGCATAACACACACAAAACAATGACCGAATATTTCCTTTGCCATTTTTTTCTACACACGCAAACATTGGATCTTTTGCCACAGCGTAAGCTTCATTTTAGTTTATTTTCTTTGTTTTCACACGAAAAAAATAAAATATGTACTCCAAACCAAATGTCATATGCAATTATATGTGTTCCCGCTGATCGTCATTATTGCGTATTAAATGTATCCTTTCCTATTGAATTTAGATTGGTTAATTTGGCCCTGGCTGGATCCATTGGGATGACACTAGTCATTCTGGCTTGCGCTCTACCACCATACAAGTGAGTATTTTTTTTTAAATTTACAGCAGAGTGTCTTTTTGCATATTTTCTTCATTGGTATGAAATTAATGTTCGGTTTGTCTACATTTTCAGTTTGTGGTGGCCAAGTTTTGTCATACTATTCTATATATTTTCCGTAATTCCAACGCTTATCATCAAGAGATCAATGCAAAGTGCACTGTTTGGGCCATCGTACGTTGACCTCTCGATATTTCTAACAATGGGATTCATTGTCAGCAGTTTTGGGCTCCCGATTGTTTTGGTGCGATGTGGCATTGTAAGCACAACATTAAAAATTTATTTGCAAACCAAATTAAAAAAAAAATGAAATTATATTATCTCTAATTTTTTTTTAGATTTTACTAGGCGCATCTGTCTTGACAATTTGTGGAAATATCGTGGTATACTTGACGATTTTCGGTTACTTTTTGTTTTTGGACCCGGATGAAACCACATACGGTGGCATGGCTTAAACATTCACCCACATGTCAATAGAAAAATAAACAAAAACAAATGTGATGTAGACCGGTACATGACTCTTAACCATACCAAGAAAAAAAAAACCAAAACAACGCATCTAGTCAGTGATGTCCGAATGAACGATTCTCTTTTTATTTGTTTTAATGTCTGCGATTTTTTGTCGTGTATCAATAATTGCCAATGATGATTGTAGTTTTCCCTTTTCCATAATCTTATAAAAAATTATCCAAATAAAACTACATAATTTAATGAATACAAGAAAGATTTTACGAAACGTCGAAATTGTTATTATTCTTTTCTTTTACGTGAACAAGTTTCAAATTCGATTTTTCAGATCAACAAATTATTGTTGAAAAAAACCTTCTTCAGAGAGATTTCAAAATTTACCCAGTGAAACTTATAAAAGGTTCATATGCAATAAATTGGTTCGATTTTTGGGAAAATTTAAATGTTTTTTGCCATATTTCAACTCCTAGATCCTGTGAAAAAATAGCCTGTGAAAAGTTTCACGTCATTACAATATCATACAGGCATGGCTTCCATACAAAAATTCAATTTTTTGTGATTTTTTCATAGAAACTGTGTCAATAATTGATTGTATCTCAAAACGAACGCCAGATTTCGTTTTCCATTACCCAAAAACCCCTATTACACATTTCAAGCTTTGATTTACGTCTCTGGGGAAAGATTTATCGAGTTAACAAAGGACCGAGTACGACGTTTCCCCCTTTGCTAAGCGAAATTAATCCGATATACGGCGCTGATGTAAATTTCACTCTATGTCATTCCACAATAATACATTTTTTGGCTTGACAATATATAAGCTCTTCATTCAACATGCATAATTTTTCAATCGTTTGGTAAAAAAAAGATACATATCATAGAATATTTTATAAAAATAACAATAATTTAAATTTTTTTCATAGATTGAACAAGAATCCAATGTTAATAGTAAAAATGCCACACCTACCGTAAAAATGCAAAAGGATACTTAGTTGGGATTGTAGGATTTTTGACATACGTCCTCAGCAGAGGTCCTAGGGGTCCGATTACTCTTCCCCCTGACGAAGTGTTACCCCTTAAAAATTTTCAAAGAATTCTTTCAATTTGCTGGGGATTTTGGCCAAAAAAGTGAGGACCAGTGAAGTGCTTAGTGAAGAGCAAAAAAAAAAACGAAAAAAGTACACTTTTCGCAAAATATCAACTAAGTTTCTTTTTGCATTTTTACGGTAGGTGTCGCATTGTTATTTCTATTTTCATTGGATTCTTATTTAATCGATGAAACATTTTTTTGAAATAATTGTAATTTATAAACAAATTAATTTTTTATAAAGAACCATGTCAATTTTTCATATAGCGAGTGAGCCAGCAGTTTTTGGCTGAGAGTTTGTCTAACCCTACATTTGTCATAACTGAACAGAGTGCGTTTAACTCTCAAACGGCACATTTGCATCGCATGCATGATCGTAAATAAGAATTAAATAAATTGAAATGGAAATATTAAAAACGATGATAATACAAAAAAAGTATAAATCATTCAAAATAATTGGAATAATAAAAATAAAATAAAATAATTTTTATACAGTAAAACCTGTCAATAACGGAATCCCACGGGGAATTTTTTTTTCCACTATTGACAAGAATTCCACTATTCCCAGGTTCCATTAATAACAGGTTTTCATGCCAATTCAGAAATGATTTTCCATTATTGAGGAAAAATGTGAAAAAAAGCAGAAATTCATATATTTTCATCATTATATAGCTAGCAAAATTTTTCAGGGGATGATTTTAGAAGAAAATGCTAGAAATCAAAAGAATTTTTCGCATGGGAAATTCTAGCAAAAAGGGTATTCCAATCGGAAAAAATTGACTTCCAAAATACAGTTCTAAAATCCCTAGCAAATCGAAAGAATTTCTCTCGCGTTCCAAAAACCCTAGCAAATCAAAAGAATTTTTCCCAATTTTTTTCCACTATTGGGGGTGAGCGTTTTTTGCCGTTTTCCGTTATTAACAGGTCATTTTGTATGGAGATCTCAATGGCGGAATTTTTTTCCACTATTGACAAGAATTCCACTATTTCCAGGTTCCGTTATTGACAGGTTTTACTGTATTTATATCATTTGATTTTTCGGGTGAATCCTTCTATCGTGAATTAAACGTACGTTGTTTTATTATGATAGCCGCAGGGTTTGACAAATTTGCAAGCAATGACAGCTGGCTCACTTTTTGGCATTGTTCTTTTTTAATGAAAAACGTTAAAAAAATATTTTACTCAACGATTCAAATATGCATGTGTATGCATTTTGAATGAAGAGCTTATATTTATCAGGCCAAAATCAGGATTTACATCAGCGCCGTATATCGAATTAATTTCGCTTAGCAAAGGGGGAAATATTTAAATATAAAAAGGGAGACAGATAGTACTCGATCCTTTATGCATGCCATACCCCTAAGGAGTACACCGATGAACTAATATCGCAATTTTCATTCGTATATTATCATTGGAGACGGTATAATACGTATAAGAAACTGACTCTGGATAGAAGTGTTCAACCCATACCCATCGTTTTGCACGTCTTCATTTGTATTACTTTGCAGAAAGGTGGTATTCGTGGATTGTATCGTGGTTTTGTTCCAACTCTAACCGGTATGGTTCCATATGCCGGTTTCAGTTTTTATTGCTTTGAAAGTGTGAAATTCCTTTGCATGAAATACTCACCACAATGGACTTGCAACAAATGCGATAAAAATACAGGTAGGCAAAAAAAGAAAACAAAATATTAACATATCCAGACCAAATGTTTGAAATTAATTTTTCAAATTTAAATTTTCAGGCGGCCGAGTTTTAAATATTCCTGCCAAACTTTTAGCAGGAGGTTTAGCTGGTGCAATAGCTCAATCCTTTTCGTATCCCTTGGATGTGACGAGAAGAAGACTGCAATTGGTTATGATGGATCCAGCAACGGCTCGATTTGGGTACGTTATTTAAAAAAATATTTTCAATTTTCTTTATGCTGAAGTTTCATGCTTATTTACAATAAAATATAATTGCATTATAATCATGTTATGTTTTTTGGCTACAAACTCAATATATCACATTAATAAATGTTTGTTTCAGAGTTGGAATGGTCACGACACTCAAGCACATTTACACTGAAAATGGTATTGTACGAGGTACTCAAACAAGCACTAAATCTTGACACCGGCATGAAAATTTAATTACAGCCGGTCTTTTTTCCGGAAAACACACACATGACAACAAAGTTTATGCAAAAGTTTTTTTTAATATCATAATTGTTAAAAAAAAAAACAATTATTTTTTTCTTTTAATTTGTTTACCTGTTTTATTGAAATTATTATTTTTGTAATGTTGAAAATGTATGACAATGGCAATTTGTCAAAATGAATCAATTGCATCACATTAATTAAGCAAAGACTAAGACTAAGTAGGTAGTATTTGCCTTCAGTCGCATAAAATAACTCAAATACCTTGGTCAAATCTAATTAAATCTTCCAATACGTTAGTCATTAGAATTTCCACAAATCAACAGCCAATGGTCATCATGGTATTAGTTAACCAATATTGTTGAATTGTTTGTGTTTGGGCGTATTATTTAAAACAGAATAATTGTTACATTGTTAAAATATATTGATTTTTTACAACTTTTATACAGAATTGAGTTTGAATACACTTCACAACATCCATTTTTCGACCACTTTACGTATTAGCCGAATGTAGCCATGTGATTTTGTACAATCGACACTGATTATGTACAAGTCAGATCTGATAAACAAAGTGGCCGGCGTATATTTCAAACAAAATCATACATGCACAAAAATGTCGGAAAAAATAAAAACAAACTAAACTAAATATCCATTTTTTTGCCGTATTAAGCCCCTAGCTCAGTCCCAATTTGATTTGAAATTTCTTTAAACTTTCAGAATGTTATTTTTATGAGTAAAAAATAGCCTGTGAAAAGTTTCCCGTCATTACAATATCATACAGGCATGGCTTTCATACGAAAATTCAATTTTTTGTGATTTTTCATAGAAACTGTATCAAAAATTGATTGCTTCAAACTAAGTCCGGAATTCTTTTTCCAGTACCAGAAAAACCCCTATTACACATTCCAAACTTTGATTTACGACTCTGGGGAAAGATTTATCGAGTTAACAAATTTTTACCCCAAACTACCCTGTAAAATCAGATTTGGATTTGATTTTCTCTAAGAAGAGTTATCGTGCTAACAAAAAGGTCAAAATTTTATAGCGTACAGTATGTGTACCACATCCCCACATTAACATGGCCAAAAAACCGTTGTACTGTGTTTCTATAGACCCAAAACGCATAGAAAAACAATTTTTGCGAATTTAAAATATTTCTACGAAGAGATGTTTTATTTCCTAACCAATTTTCCATAAATGAAGACTTACTATTTTTAGATGAATACAATTATTTGTATTTTGCATATAAGGTGGTAAATGTTGCATGAAATGACAAAAGCAATTTTTTAGTCTTTTATAAAAGGATATATTTTTTTATTTGCCGAATATTCATAATACACTGCCAGTTTTTGGCCGTAGAGCTTAATGTGAAACGTGGAACCGTACTACTAAGAAAAACAAACTACTCGACATTCATATTTTGAATTTTTTGACACAATTTTTTTTTAAATAAATTACACCTTGAAAATTGATTTTACAAATATTTGGCTCATATTGCCTCAACGACTACCTATGGGCTCCCACTTCAAAAAGTTAGTAAATCCTATAAATTAGATAGATGGCTTTCTCAGAAGCTGCGCTGATGATCCATAAATGATGAAATCGTTCAATTCAATTACTGAAATGAGAACGTCCAGAACTACCTAATAAATGCATCACATGGATTTCGTTTTTCTGTAAGGTTTTTGTCAATGCCATAGTTAAATTGAAATTCTAAAACTCTTCACAAGTGTGATTGGCTAATAAGCTATATAGCGTTAGCAAGAGGACTTTGGGAGCTATCATCTGGCGAAATTTAATCAAAATCATAGAACTAGGTTGCTTGCAATGAAGCTCGAAAATGTACTTTACCTATATTTTTCTCATTTTGGCTATATTGCCACCTATGGAGTTGAGCTTCAAATAGGCAGTAAACTCCAAAAGACTACTCTCAGAAAACTCAGATGTTAAAATTCAAAGTAATCAGAGGAAAATGCCATTCTAACATGAGGGAATTTTTTCACATGGTAAAATGTAATTTTTACCGCAATAAATTTTCCCTTGAAAGTTGAATTTGCAAAATATTTTGACAAATTACATAAAATTAAATATGGAGCTCTATATTGATACTTTAGATGTCTATTTTTGAAGGAAAAATATTGAAGAGAAAAATTGTTTTTGTCACAATATTAAAATGTACCAATAGCACGCTATTCATATCGAACTATCAATAGTATCATTGATATATCACTAGCGTCAATCTATGGCCACCTGGGAAACACATCCACAAGTTCGATTGGCTAATAAGCTATATGCCGTTGGAAAGAGGGCTTCAAGAGCTATCGTCTGGCAAAGTTTCATCAAAACCATAGAACTAGGTTGCGCGCAATAAGATTCGGAAGCCGATTTTTCTCTCAATTTTTCATATTTCGGCCAAACGGCCAGCGTAAAACGCCATCAAACCTGCCGGAAACTCCATAATTTATATACCATTCGAAAGGTAATTTTATAAGGAATCTAAAACAATTTGGTACCTCGGGTGTCTCCAACTTTTTTCAACAAGTTTCATCTAAATCCAAAGTTATCAAATTAACACTAGAGAAAAACTCATTTATTCCATCTTTTATCCACCCAATAAAGTTGCAGAAAAACGTTATTCCACCCGAATCCATTCGTTATCCACTCAATAAATGGTGAGTGGAATCGAAATATTTTTCAAAGTGGAATCCAGAAAGAGGGTCCATGAATGAAAAAATTAAATGGGTAGCACTTATGGGGAAAATAAAAAATACGTCTGGAGGGTTTTTCATGCCCTATCGAATACCGAAAACCCGAACTCTCTATCTTTTCTGGTTTTCTCTAAAATCACTGAACAAACATATATATATATATATATCTTACTATTCCATAGCTTAATGTATAAGACTACGTTTCACATTAAGCAATAACTGCACTTTTATGATTATAGTTTGAAGAAATTAACAAAATCATTGATCTTAAACGATTACATATATTGGGGACGGTATAATACGTATAAGAAACTGGATCTGGATAGAAGTATTCAACCCATACCCATCGTTTTGCACGGTTTGCGTCACTTTGCAAATTATCTGCAGAAGACATTTTTCTCTTTTCTTTTTTTTTCATATTGTCTGTATTTTGCAAAACAAAACAAACTAAACCAAATATCATCAA